TCTTGCCTTCCAAGGGGACTCAGGAGTCGACCAAGGAAAACTAGCTGGCCCTGTAAGGAGTGGCACTGTTAGTGTCTGTCCTGAACGGGGCTTAGTCAGGAAGTGGTCTGGAAGCGTACAGTCATGGTCACCTCATGAAGATGTGTGGCAGGTGGCTCTCAGGAAAAATACTGTCTGGATCATCCATGTGGCAGCTTTGCATAGGGAGATGACGACTCCGAACTGGAATCGAACTGCCTTCCACGTGCTTGACCAAAGCAGTGATGAGGGTGGCCGATACATGTGGTGTGAGTGGTAGGTTTAAAGAGAAAGGAATGTTTTCTGCTTGGTGTTTCCTTTGTCCTTGGGCTGCTCAAGCTGAACAGTAGGTAACCACTGTTTTCAAACCATCCCAACTTGGCTGGTTCGGTTCGGAGTTCGTTTCATCCCTAGCTGTGAGTGCCTTTTGGTCTGGAAAGTTGGCTTGTCTCATAATACCCACAGCTAGGACATTCTCTCTGTAATTATGGATTGTCCTTGTTTTACATGAACTAAAGAAGAATGTCTTTGATCACTAGAGTTTGTCGTGTTGGATTGTTTCCACAGTGAGGTTCTTAAATTTTTTCGCTTCATAATATTAAAGCAGCTCATGTTAGAGATCCTTTCAACATGAAAGGTTTGTAGTTGAGACATTACATATATTTTATTGTTTATAATAAAAATCATCTATACAGAAGTCCTGGGTGTTAATTTCAATATTTGCACAAGATCTGTTTTCCATGATATGTTAACACCTACCATTTCACTAATTGTTGATGTTATTTTCTATTGAGATTCTGGAGCCTAGGAAGCTATGTGTTCTTTCTGTTTATTTTCATTCATATTTCCCTGAAGCAAGAGACTTTGTATGGCCTTCAGTGCAAAGACTTCAGACCAATTCTTTGTATTACACTTGGTTGCCTCTTGGCTATATAATTTCAGAGTGCAAATCATTGAACTCTTTAACAAAGTATTGTAGAGAATAAATCATAATGGGTAAAAATTGTTCTTTGTGATGCCTATTTTTTTTTTCTTGGAATAGTGGTAACAGTCATCTTATTTTTGAAGACTGCCAACCAGACAATGTTCATTCAGCCTGCATATTTTGTGTGGTGTTCATGACCCCCAATAACCTCGCACTTGTATTTTTTTTGTGGTTAGTAATAATGCCACTGGTTTTTTAGAGCCAAGTTTCTTGAGCCATGAGCCAAGAATTCATGAATCCTTTGAAATTTGGATTTTTCTAGAAAGAAGGCTCATAGTTTTCATTAGATTTTCCACTGAAACTGACCTTGCCCAAAAAGCTAAAAACTGAAGAGGGGAAAAAAATGCTCAAATTTAAGATGTCATCTGGTGACGTTAATCCAAGCAAAGACCGTAGGACATATTGATGGTCTGGCCAAAAGGGAAATGTTTTGGGCCAGAAAGGATGAGATGTGTTTGAAGATAATGGTAAGGAGTAATGTTTCAAACATACAAACATTCATATGCTGGGATTGTCAGTCTTCAGTTGAGATTTTTATTTGCAAGGAAGTAAATTCTTTTTTTTTCGGATTCCCAGTTCTGAGGGCCTTACACTTGGCAGACCTCATAAGCCACAGGTATGCATGCTGTCAGGCTTAGGTAATATTGGAAACAGACTACAAGCAACTGGTTAAACACTTAGAGATTTGGTTAGACTTAGAGACTGGTTAAACACTTCACAGATTTGATAATAACTCGGGTGTGTGAGAGGAATTCTTTCAAGAGAAATTATGGTTCTTGAGATTACTATTCCATATTACCTGTAATACCACCTGTAGTCAAACAGCATGGAATTCCATATCATTGATTTTTTTTTTTTGGTGGTGGCGGTATAATATGTATAACATAAAACTTGCCATTTTAACAATCTCTGTTGTCTTCTGAAATGTGAACTAAGCCATCTAGTCAGAGATCAGTGGTGCTAATTCTTGTGGGAGTGGGGGCAGGGGAGGTGCTCTAAAGCTGCTTCCAGATCAATCTAGGGTCTGTGACCTTGGCTTGAATATCTGGCTTTGAAATACTACAGTGATCTGGCTGAAGGATCTGACTCTGAACCAACAGTGTACAAAGAACCATGTAGCGTCCTGAGGAACGTAATGTTAGTCCTGTCCCTCCTGGGTCTGTTTCCCTCGTTCTAAAATGAAACTCTGACAAGGATTCTAGGGTCTCTTCCTGCTGCTTACTCGCTCTGTTTCTATGAGGTTTTGTATGCTACAGCAAATTGGAAAACAAGTGACTCCTCCAATTTCAAAACTAACTATTGATGGGGGAACCAAACAGGAGAGAGTTCTCAAGTTCTGCTGCCAGTCAGACCCCGACTCCCACTATGGCCATTGTTTCTTTGATCCCACTTTGGTTCTCAGCCAAAGAAGTAACCAACCAGAATGCTGACATTGGAATCTTCACAGTCTGGCAGTCTGATACTTGAGCTCAAATCTTGTTCCTGCCATTTATGAGCCAGACAACTAGTTCTGAGCCGAATTTCCTGCTTTGTGACAGGCCTGTGAATCTCCAAGGTAGCCTGTTGGAAATGCTTTACCAAGCCCCAGCACATGGTGCACTGGCTGAATGATTATGACTATCCAGACTGTCATCCAGTGCTAAGTGTAGATGGGAACAACTGGGCAAGTGTCAAACCCTCTGAACCCTAAGCTACTCTGGGCCCATGAAAAGAGGTGGCATAATTGGTGTACTCAGCCCTTCAAGTCCGGACAGGCTTCCTGAAAGACATGGGTGCTGAAATCAGCCCAGCTTGACCTGAAGAAGAGAGGGCTTCTCAGGTAGAGTCAAACAGCGCCAGCACAGCATGATGGGGTGGACGAGCCCTCTCAGGGCTCACTGCCCTGTCACATTGCCACAGGCCAGCCAGGCCTTAAAATCCTGGGACTCCCAGGACCGCCCCCGGAGGTTTTTGTGCCTGGAAGTCAAGGGCTGTTGGCAGAATCACACAGCCCCACCCCCACTGTATATACCCCATTCCTTTGTATCGCTAGAGACTATTAATAGCATGAGGGAGAGGATTACAGGTGGATGCCTTTAGCTTCCTTTGTAGCACTTACCAGCAGACTTCAGCAGCTGGTGACAAAGATTTTTTAATTTATGAGAGAATAGCTTAAATTGGGAGATTCTGTACATTAACTTTGAGTATACAGAGAACTGGGAAATGTCATCATTCTACATTAGGGGCAGAACACCTGGGTCCAGGAAAATACATGAGTGATTCAGTCCACAAGCACTTTGAGAAGCACTGTAAAAGGTTACAAAAGGTGGAAATTACTCTTTTGATTGAAAAATGATAGAGCAACATTAATGAAAAATATAGCAAACATTTGTATAAGGGCTGCATAATTACTGTGTTTTCCTTCATTTTCCAAGAATGATATAATGAAAATGACATTTAAGGAAGTTGAAATATGAATTTACCTTAAAGAGCGAATATTTCTCTTATGTACCTGACAATTTTGTTCATGTGACTCCTCCCCCATCACTGACTACATGTTAAGGAGTGGTTCCAGGCCAGCCCCTGCTCCCCAGACCCCTTGACTCATCTACCTCCAATCAGAAGAGGCCTCTTTCTCTTTGTATCCTTCCACAGCACTTGTTTTTACTTTCTCGCATACTATTTGCTACTTTCTGTCTTTTATTATGGAAAATAAGTCCAGATCTTGCATCAGCTACTCCAGGAGAGCTCCTTGTGGGGACAGAGCTATGATTGATTCATCTTTTTAAACCCAGGGCCTTGTACATAAGTGTTTATAATGGTTTCCTGAATGAAAACGTTGTGGACAAACTAACCTGTGAAACATCACTGCATGTATTTTTTGTTATTTTCCTTTCTTCTCTCCTCACCTGCTGACTTCTCTCCCGCTATGTGTGTGCAGAAGCTACCAAGTGTGGGGTATCCAGCGAGCCCTCGAGCCAGCACATGGTGAGGTCCAGTAAGTAGTAGGTGCTCTGTAAAGCCCTGTCGATGGACAGATGGAAGAAAGAGGCCTACACTGAGTTCCAGGTCCATTTCCACACCCAGCGGCTGCATGTCCTCAGACTTCTCAGCAGGACATCTGTCCGCAGTTCTAATGAAAGCACTTTGAAACAGTAATAAGCTCTGCCAATACTATGTAATCTACTATTATTTTACCCAATACATGCCTTCTGGAAATACACATACAGAGCAAATTAATTTTGTGAAAATTATATTTATAAATCAAAGGAATACAGGTACACATTCTTGTCTGGTAATATCTTAATTCATTTTTTGTTAACAGAGCTTATATGATACCTAAACATTGTTCGCCACTGAGCCACGTTGTGCGCTATGATTATTTCCTTTACGGTATAACCTGTTTTCTCTGTAGTTGAAAACACCATCATTTTTCATTTGCTTACTTTTCTATGTATCATCCAAATGCTCCAACAGATGTGTTAAAGGCCCCTCAATATCACTGTTCACGAGCTCAGAAGTATCCACTACAAATCAATCAAATTTTTTAAACGCTTAAGGTATTGAAAGGAATTCCACTGTATGTTTTCGTAGTCACCTACCCACCTTTCCATCAACCGGAGTTCCTTGGGTCAGTCACTTGGCGCGTTTCTGCATCTCATCTAATCCGTTCCTTCGCCCTGGAAGGCAGGTTCCTTATCCACACTTCATAGGTGAGGAAGCTGAGGCTCAGAAAGGCCTAGTGACCGGTCTCAGGACAAGCGGCAAAGGACGTACTGGACAAGAGAAGGAGCACGGCTTCCCCCAGCGCAGACCAGCGCAGGACGCCCTTGGCGCTCCGCTAACCTCCGGAACTCCGTCGCCCTGGCCCGGTCTCCGCTTCCTCTCTGGCAGCCCGAGTCCGCTCGCTTGCCCTCGGCCGCCTTTCCGGCCCCGCCCACCCACCGGGCCCGCCCACCTCCGCCAGGTGCCCGCCTCGGCCTCCAAGGCCACGCCCCTCCCGCGGCTGGCGGCTCAGCGCTTCCGCTTCCGGTGGTGTGGTTGGCGGCTGTGATGGCGGCGGGTGGCAGTGACCCGAGGGCTGGCGATGTAGAGGAGGACGCCTCACAGCTTATCTTTCCCAAAGGTGGGGCCTGGGGCTGCCCGACTGCCCCTATCGTCCGGCTTGGTCGCCGCAGGCCTGGCGTTGCCGGCGCCCGACCAAGGTCTGGCCACGGCGGGCAGCCAGGCGTCCCCGGGCGGCGACGGGCGGGGGGGGCCTCGAGAGCGGGCCACCTAGGTTCGGCGCCTGCAGGCCTGGAGCCGTCGGCGCCCAGCCCACTCTGCCCCTGGGCGGCCTCTTGTACCTGTTGAAGTCGTTTATTTTCTCTGATAAACCGCAAGGTGCTGGAGGGCTGTGTCAGGCTAGACAAAGCCGGCACTGGTCGAAGCGGTAAGGACAGATTGTAATCAGTAATATGCTGTCGCAGTAGGGGAAGAGTCCAGCGTGGCCTAGGCTCAGCTTCGATTTGGCGTTTTAAAGGAAGAATGAGGGGATAGAGAGGGGGTGAGCGGGGCCTCGGCAGGGAAGTGAAAAATTACAGAAGGCGGGAAGGGGGGCTTTGGTCTATTTGAAACTCGTTTTGTTTGTTAACTGGCACTTAGGGAAGTTCGGCTTCTGCCCTCCCTCTGGGCTAGGAGACAGGGAGCCTCTCTTCAGGTGTCGGCTGGAGCAAACAGTCCGTTATTTTAGTGGCCTTGAGTTTTCACAGGCAGGCGCTTTAAAGGGGCTGGGGTGGGCCATGAGCTGTTAGCAATCATGTTGGTGTTTTGTTCAGGTCTTTATGGGCCAAGGTTGAGGCCTAGTGGAGAAGAGGGCTCAGAAGAGCCCGGCTAGTGATTGGTCAAGGAGGGACTCTTGTCAGATGGCAAGGAGTAAAGCACATTTTGCTATCAGGGAACTTCCTCAGTGCAGTGGGATGCACTTTGCTTGTAATTTAGAAACCCAAAATAAGCAGGAAGCTTAAGATTTTAAAATACCATATTTTACAGGTACTGAAAAACACGAAGTAAACAGGGGAAACCTTAACAACACCCTCCTGTTTTAAAAATTATTGTATCCGGGCTGCCCAGTGGCTTATCGGTTAAGTGCGCACGCTCGGCTACTGGCGGCCCTGGTTAGGATCCCAGTGCGCACCGTCGCACCGCTTCTCCGGCCATGCTGAGGCCGCGTCCCACATATAGCAACTAGAAGGATGTGCAGCTATGACATACAACTATCTACTGGGGCTTTGGGGAAGAAAAAGGAGGAGGATTGGCAATAGATGTTAGCTCAGAGCTCGTCTTCTTCAGCAAAAAGAGGAGGATTAGCACGGATGTTAGCTCAGGGCTGATCTTCCTCACACACACACAAAAAATTATTATATCCACAGTAACAAGTGAAACTCCACACCCCCTTCACCCAGAGGAAAGTACTGTAAACATTTTAGTGCTTATCTTTCCAGACTCATTTTATGCTTATTCATAAATATATACGTATACACTTTTTTCTTTGCAAAAATGCAATTATGCTGTAGAAATCCTACAGCTTTTTAAAAATTTGACTATATATTGTACAGAAGTCTTATTTTTTTAAAGGGCTAGATAGTACTTAATATATCTATTGATAGACTTATAGGTTGCTTCCAGTTTTTTATTTCATAGACTCAAGGTCAAATGTTTCTATAGGATAGCTTCATGGAAGTTTTTGGCATAATGGAAATATGTTTGTTTCTTTTTTAAGGTGTAATAACTAAGAGGGACATGGTTTTTCTTAATTTCATGGTAAATTAGGACAAATTTTTTGTACTTGAGTTTTATCTACCTACTTTTTATTTAGTTTTTTTTCACTCAAAATATTTGTTTTGATAAAATCAGGTAACATCTGATACACATGAACATTTTATTGAATTGGGTATAATTAGATCCTATCAATTAACAGTGTATCAGTTCTGAATATCTATCTTTAACTTCTCAGCTGATATAGGCATATAAAATGTTTATTATGTATTTTAGAATGTATGTAGATACATAGTATTTAACAGTAAGTAATGGGCCGGCCCGGTGGCTTATCGGTTAAGTGCGCGTGCTCTGCTGCTGGCGGCCTGGGTTCGGATCCCAGACACACACCGACGCACTGCTTCTCCGGCCATGCTGAGGCCGCGTCCCACGTACAGCAACTAGAAGGATGTGCAGCTATGACGTACAACTATCTATTGGGGCTTTGGCGAAAAATAAATAAATAAATAAAATTAAACAGTAAGTACTTAAAAGATAGGGAAAGTCTTTGCTGTAGGATGGAAAGTAAACAAATGTGTGATATTCCATTGTAGGACTGAAAGAATGGATGAGACGATTGAAAGCTTCTGAATACGTGTAGTGGTAGTTTTCACAAGCATATTTGCCTGCAAATAAAATTTGTCCTTCATCGGCATAATTAACAGCAACTGTATGGAAGAAATTAGGAAGTAAGCCATTTTTTCCAAAAAAGATTATATAATCCCAGTCACTCCCTCCCTCAACTAAAGAAATCCCCTAAACCATTTTATTCTAGAGAGAAAAATGTACATTATAAGAAGACCACCTGAAATTGCTACCCTTATCATAAAACATTTATTAATGGTTGTAATGAAGAATCTTTAAGAAAATTCCTAGATGAGGTACTGACCAAGGAATTGTTTTCCTTCTTACAGGAACAGGGATTAATAAATTGTTCTGAAAATATCTGCACAGAGGGAGAATAACATGCAGATTCCCTGATGTATTTCATTTTGTTTCCCAAATAAATTAAATTATGTATAATGTGTGTGTATATGGTTTCACCTAAAAAAAGGTTTGTTGGGATTAGCATGGGGAGAGGTCTTGGCTTCCTTCTCTCCACATTTATTGGTGCCACATCCCGGAAATGCGTCCCCAGGCCTCTGCGGTAGGTCTCAGGTACCCTTCTCCTCGGTCCTCAAAGTCAAAGTTTGGCTGCCTTGACCTTTCTTTTTTTTGAGAGATTGGCCCTGAGCTAACATCTGTTGCCAATTTTCCTCCTTTTTTCTTTTTTTCTCCCCAAGGCCCCCGTAGATAGTTGTATGTCATAGTTGTGCATCCTTCTAGTTGCTCTGTGTGGGATGCCGCCTCAGCATGGCTTCGTGAGCAGTGTGTAAGTCTGCACCCAGGATCCGAACCAGCGAACCCTGGACTGTCAAAGCAGAGCACACGAACTTAACCGCTATGCCGCTGGGCCGGCCCCTGCCTGGGCCTTTTATTGGTTGAAAGGAGTGAGGGTGATGTATAAATAGTTCTTGGGCATTGCTCTCAGTGAGGAATAGGGACCCGTGACTAGTCTCATGGTGTCCTGAAATTTCCATCCCACTACATTTAACAGGTAACTTTGGTTTAGTGCAGAAAGGGAGGCATTTCTAACTTTGGCCGATTTTCCAGTAGCCTTAAATTCTTATTAATAACTCTTATTTAGCCTCTTAATTCTCATTTTCTTTTTTTCTTTTTTTTTTTTTTTTTGTGTGAGGAAGATGGGCCCTGAGCTAACATCCGTTGCCAATCCTCCTGTTTTTTGCTGAGGAAGACTGGCCCTGGGCTAACATCTGTGCCCATCCTCCTCTACTGTATATGGGACGCCGCCACAGCATGGCTTGACAAGAGGTGCGTCAGTGCGCACCCGGGATCCGAACCTGTGAACCCCGGGCCACCGAAGTGGAGTGCGTGAACTTAACAGCTACACACGCCACTGGGCAGGCCTTTAATTTCCATTTTCTAAGGCTTTGTTAGTGCTGCAGCCTCAGAAGCTGAGACCGACCTACTAATTAGCTGCTGCTCGTTTTTTTGTTGTTGTTCCCCATTATGTCACTTATTACTCTTACATCAGTGATTTGGGGTCGTACAGTCCAGATGTTGAATGCCTCCTCCACTGATTGCTCTGAGGCAGTAGTTTATTCACCTGTATTAACACCACCTCAGCTGCTTGGACTAGAATTAACTCTGAGGTTCCTCTTGTTTGAGCTGTGCTGCCCTCAGGTAGAAAATAGCTTTTGGGTGCCTATTATATTCAGTAGCAATAAGAACCTTTTCGAATAAAAATACTGTTTCCTCCTGACACCCACCCCCCCCACCCCCGCTCCCCAGCTCCCCACACATAGGCGTTGTGGAAGGGGAGTGAAGCTCTTGTGACCTGGCCTGAGAACTGGAAAGGCATTATTCTGATGGCAGTGTTAGTGAGTTCCCCAATAGTAAACATACATCACATGTAAACGCCAGATTTCAGGTAATTTTGGATTCTTCTCACTGTTGCTTCCTCTTCAGTGTGGGATTATGAACATGAACTCGTGTTTATGAATGGTTCCTACTCTGGGGGAACTCACTGATAACGAGAAGGCGGATAAAAACCAGCTCTAATACTTATGGTAATAAATATTAAGAACATATACTCCTATGGGAATGTAGGGGAGATGATGATTTTCCCAAGGAGATAATACTATTTTTAACAGTGTTATTCTGAAAATATAGGAAAAGGTAGCCATATATTATGGAAAGGAGTCATGGGTATCTTTTTCTCCTTCACACCTAGTTTTTAAAGGTTGCTTCTAGTTATTCTTATTGGTCAAGAGGATTTTTTTAAGTGAGTATCAAGGGCAAGAGATCTGTGCAGTGGTAAATATTTGAATTAGGTTTAGTTGATAGATGACATTAGACTATGAAATCCAGAGGTCAGGGGCTACTAGACACAAGCCCAATGCCTAGTAGTACATAATAGGCAGTGACGTGGGTGAATGAGCAAATAATAGATTTGTGTAGATACAAAAATAGAATTTGGGGTACATTATTAATCTGTGTTTCCAAACACTGGCCCTCTGTTAACATGTAATAATTCTTGAGAGAGTATATCAGCATTGTGGAACTAGAAAGATTATGAGCTCCTGCAAGCTAAAGGGAAATAATTGTTGGTTGTGCTCCATTTTGAACTCAATAACTGGCCTAATTTGGATAATGATGTATCTTTATTTTTTTATTATTTTTGTGTGTGTGTGAGGATGATGATGTATCATTACTTAATAGCATGTTGAGGTCAGATTCTTTAATGTTAGAAACTGTCTAGCCCAAATGAGCTAAATTTTAGTATTTTATGAACTCCACTGTGCCTTGTGGTACACAAATCTGGATGAAGGTAAAGTGGGATATGAAGCCTCTGGATTTCTGCAGGGACAGAGACCTGCTGTTAGTCTCAAAGGCAAAATGAACATTTGGAAGCTGACTTTTGAAGGAATATTTTCAGCTGACATGTATGCTTCTCACAAATAGAGTTTGAAACAGCTGAGACGCTTCTAAATTCAGAAGTTCATATGCTTCTGGAGCATCGAAAGCAACAGAATGAGAGTGCAGAGGATGAACAGGAACTTTCTGAGGTCTTCATGAAAACTTTAAACTACACAGCCCGATTCAGTCGTTTCAAAAACAGAGAGACCATTGCCAGTGTCCGTAGGTGAGTGCCAAAAGAAAGTTTTTATTAATCTGCAGGTAGAATGCTGTCCTCCACCCCACCCCTTCCTTGGGTATCATCTGTAGGTTTAATGTAAGTAAAATAATATCTTTGTCAAAAATTTTAAAATTGCTTATGAGGCCAAAATCCTCTTTGGCCGCTTCCTCCTATACCCCAAATCCCAGTTATCTCCTCGCAAAATAACTATTAGCAGTTTGTTGTCAGCCCTCTAGATCTTCTTCCATGCATTCACATTCATATATACACCTATCGAAAACACATAGCATCTGTTCCTTGGAGTTTTGTTTTCCTTTTTTAAAGTGGGCTTATTTATTTGTTATTCACCTGAAATGTCTTAGCGATCTTTATATGTTAATAAATATAAAGCACAAGCATTCTTTCTGGATCTTTGCTTTATCTTTAAAAACGTGACCAGCTTTTAGTATCTGTTCCTAAGGCGTTGCTTCTCACATGGGATTGAGAAGCAATGCCTGGGAAACGGTGATGTGCTGGGCCATATAGGAGGCCAAGGAACAACATCCCATCTTCCTGAAGTATCAGTTTCACTTGTTGATGGGTGATTTAAAACATTTCTACATTGGGGCCGGCCCCGTGGCATAGCAGTTAAGTGCGCGTGCTCCACTGCTGGCGGCCCGGGTTTGGATCCCGGGTGCCCACTGACGCACTGCTTGTCACGCCATGCTGTGGTGGCATCCCATATAAAGTGGAGGAAGATGGGCACAGATGTTAGCCCAGGGCCGGTCTCCCTCAGCAAAAAAGGGGAGGATTGGTATGGATGTTAGCTCAGGGCTGATTTTCCTCACAAAAAAAAAAAAAAATCTACATTAAAGCAAACAGATACCAGCATATTGTGGAGTAAAACAAAAGATGTATATGAATTCTTTCTTTCTTTTTTTTTTTCCTTTGCTGAGGAAGATTCTCCCTGTGCTAACATCTGTTGCCAATCTTTCTCTTTTTGTATGTGAGCTACTGCCACAACATGGCCACTGACAGACGAGTGGTGTAGGTCCATGCCCAAGAACCAAACCCGGGCCACCAAAGTGGAGTGCACAGAACTTAACCACTCGGCCACTGGGCTGTCCCTATATATGAATTCTGGAATTAAATCATGAGACTTAACAACCTTGCAGTTGCAGAAAGTCATTTGAGCCTATGCCCCCAGGTTGCCTAAGGGCACTTGTTTGCTCTACTCTGGTGAAAATGTTTGAGATGTACTGTCCTTAGGAAAAGCAAATGGACAAAAAGATGTATATACAGAGATACTGTTCAGAGAGCTATTTATAATAGCCAAAGGTTAAAAAAACAACCTAAATATTCAACAGTAATTAAATAAATTGTGGAAAATTCATTTGATGGGCTACTATATTATCATTAAAAATTGTGGTAGAGGAGGGAGATGTTCCAGCCAAAGAGGCACAACACAGTCCCAAATAGCAAATAATTCTGTTTGGCTGAAAATGTAGAGCATGACAGTGAAGTTGGGGAAAATTAAACTGGAGGGTGATTCATGGGCCAGATTGGGTCTTGTAAGCTTGGAAGGCACTGAAAATTTGGTCGAGAGGAATGACTTCATTGGATTGGTGTTTCAGAAAGTTTGCTGGCTGCTGTGACATAGAGGGAACCTTGGAGGGGACTGAGGTTGCAGCTGTAATTCAGGTCAGAGATGGTGGTTGCCTGAATGAAGGTAATGGCAGCCAATCTAACCATAATGGAAAGATTGCAAGTGCTCTACTTTTTCTCTTCCTTGAAGCTAGCTACCTTTGATCCTCTGTTTCCTATTCATGATTTGATTTTTGTTTGTTTTGATTTTCTTCCCTATGATCAGCTTGTTGCTCCAGAAGAAGCTTCATAAGTTTGAGTTGGCCTGTTTGGCCAACCTTTGTCCAGAGACTGCTGAGGAGTCCAAGGCTCTGATCCCAAGGTTAGTACCAGTTGTGATAAGTTCTGTGTGTATTGTGTAAATTCTTACAAGTAGAATTACTGTGTCTAAAAGGTGTGTGTGTTTAAAATCTGGATAGATGTCACCAGCATCAAATGAGAGTGCCTTTTTTAACAGAGTACGGTGCTTTTTCTTTTTTTTTTTTTTTTTTTTTTTTGGTGAGGAAGATTAGCCCTGAGCTAACATCCAATGTCAATCCTTCTCTTTTTTGCTGTGGAAGATTGGGCCTGGGCTCACATCCATGCCCATTTTCCTTTAGTTTATATGGGATGCTGCTACAGCAGGGCTTGACAAGTGCTGTGTTGGTGTGTGCCCAGGATCCAAACCTGTGAACCTCGGGCCGTTGAAGTGGAGTGCGCGCACTTAACTGCTACACCACCGGGCCGGCCCTGAGAATGATAGCACACCAACTGTTACCAAAAATGTGAAACAGCTGAAACTCTTAGACACTGATGGTAGGAGTGCAAATTAGTACCGTCACTTTGGAGAGCAATTTAGCTACATGTAGTAAAGTTAAAGATGAATATACCCCATGTTCCAAAAATCCATTCCTGGGTACATGCCCTAAAAGCAACTCCTGCAGTTTAAAGGGAGATGTGTATTCCAGTGTTAGTGCATTAGAATTGCAGCATTGTTAGTGATAGCAGAAACTTGGCAACGACAATCTGTCAGTCAACAAGAGAATAGATAAATCATTGTGTGATCATACGTTTATTATATAGCAGTGAAATAATTAATGAACTAGAACAACATGGAATAATGTCCTACAAATGCTGGAATGAATTTTGAGTGAGAAAAATTGTGGAAGGATATATACAGTATAATGCCATTTCTTATAAAGTTTAAAAACAATGCTGCGTATTGCTTATAGATGCATTTACATGTACGTATAGTAAGTCTAGAAATTTGTATAGGAATGATAAATACCAAATTTAGGATAATGATTACTTCTGGGGAAGGAGGGGCAGGTGTTGGCATGGGGGAGCATACAGAGCCATCAGTTTGTTCCTGTTATGTTTATTAAAGACACCTAAATCAAGTAGGGATAACTGTTAAGGTTACTTATTTTCTATACCTTTTATATGTTTGAAATACTTCATAATCCTTTTATAAAGATTTTATTTATTTATTTTTCCCCCAAAGCCCCAGTAGATAGTTGTATGTCATAGCTGCACATCCTTCTAGTTGCTGTATGTGGGACGCGACCTTAGCATGGCCAGAGAAGCGGTGCGTCGGTGCGCGCCCGGGATCCAAACCCGGGCCGCCAGCAGCGGAGCTCACGCACTTAACCGCTAAGCCACGGGGCCAGCCCCATAATCCTTTTAAAAGGAAAGGCAGGAAAGAAATAGTTGAAATGTAAAAGTGTCACTGTTTGTAAATGGTGAGGTGGGCATGTGGTGCTCAAAGCTGAGCATGTATTGAAGCAGCATGGAAACATTGTCCATCACTAAGATACTCGTTTCTTTTGGTTTTCTTCTTGTAGCCTCGAGGGACGGTTTGAAGATGAGGAGCTACAGCAGATTCTTGATGATATCCAGACCAAGCGCAGCTTTCAATATTAATCTCCAGACATCACTCTTCTGCTAAGGGAACCACATCCCCAGCACAGCACCACTGTCCTGGGGTCTGGAGTTCACTTGCACAGAAATTCTATTGCAGAAGACACTTGGGCTTGGGCTTGATTTAGGTTGCTGTTTCAAACTTAACAGTTGGACCGTGATGACCATTTAATCTTGGAGAGGCCTTGCAATGGCTGCCTGTGGCTTCCTGAGCTTGCCTCTGGGAAGAGTGAGGCGGGGTGATGTGCATATAAGCTACGCTATGGACTACCTCATTCCGTGGTTTTTGGCCCCTGTGTTATTTTTGATTCCTAATATTTTATGTTTTAATTTCAATGTGTTTATGGTTTTTGAAACTAAACTAGAACATACAAAACTGGTATGGGAAAAAACAGTCTTACCTAAATGCAAAAGGAAGAATTAAATCAGACGTGTATCATTATTCGAAATTCTTAAGGTAAGGATGATAAGTATTGTAGTGTTAATGACTGTAAGAGAGCCTTGGCATCATTGTGCTTAACCCAGGAAGCAAGGAAGAAGCTCACCATGGGAAGCAATTCCACTTGAGGATAACTGTGCTAAGGATTGTGGGGCCCATAGCCTTGAGGTAGACAGGTTCTTTGGCTTTTTTCTTGGACTGTTGCAGAATGTAGATTTGGAGTACGTGGTCCTAAAGCACTTATTATGTTAGTCCTAAATTAAGATTTTTCCTTCATAGGCCAGATGTGAAGGTCTGAACACTTTGAATTCTCCTTGTGTAGGGCATCCAGTCCAAACCTCTGGCTTACTGCTTGGCCGCAGGTCTTCTCTAGTAGGGGTGATTTGGAAGGAGGGAGCCTGCCCCTTCCTGAGCCACTCCAATGAAGTCACTCGATCTGAGGCTAGTTGGGGGTAAACTTTAGTACCTAACGTTCTAGTCTTGATTTTTCTGAAGGGAAATATGCCTGTTTTCTTCACAATTTAGGGACTTTTCTTGGGAGCACTTGTAGGCTCCAAATGAGTTCATGATCCAAGGGAAAGGTTGAGGAAACAACAAAGTTGGCTTTACAGGTCAAGATCGTTTTATGTCAGCTGCTGGGTAAGGCAAAAATAAAATATTTTTATAAATGCTGAAATTCTGAAATGACGTGGTTTCTAAGTCACTAATATTCTTGATCAATATTGGAAGGAAATGTCAATTAGACGTCAATTTAAAACAGTTTTTGAAGGAAATAATCGTGGCAACTTGGCATCCTTGGGCACCTTCGCTTCTTTGAGAGTCATCAGTGTTCTCGGCTGTAAAATGTATATAATGATAATATCTATTCCAAACATATGTTGAGAAGATTGAATGAGAAAATTACTAAAAAGAGCCTATTGGAGTCTGACGTATATTATGCCCCAATATGTGTTAGCTGTTATTAGTATCTCAGTCAGATGTGCAAGTATATATAGGTGATTAAGTCACCTTGCTTCATAGAAATTAGTGCAAGAATTCGGTAGTGTATCAGCTGGTATTGGTATCAGACTGTGAAAACAAACCAAATTTCTTACTCCTAAATCTGCAGGATTATTTTTTAAGAGAGGCAATTACATGTGCAAGTTGGCACCAAGCAGTGGAACGGACAGAGCAAGCCTGGAAGGCACACCTGAGTTACAGTCCAGGTGCGTGTGCTATATGGCGAGGGAATAGTGCAGTGCCACCATCTTCACTGGTGCGCCCACCTGTGTGCCAGGAGTCTGTGCTACCCCCGACAGTATTCAAGTCTGTAAAGTGCATGGCACAGAGAGGCACTAATAAGTGGTAGTAAGATGATTAGAAGGAGATTTGAAAAAAAAAAAACAGCTCATATTAGGGAATTACTTGTGAAAGCAGCCTCATGCTATGTTATAGATTCAAAGCCTGGTCAACACATTCTGCTGGACATTGTTCTCTGCAGTCCTGGACAGCAGCTCACTGTTCAGTCAGTTGGAGACCCTGCAGAGTCTTTAATCATCTGTGAGACACTGTTGGACTCACTGTATTGTGTTTGCAAAAGCAGAATTCACGGACGCATTGAAACAAAGCAAAAGATGTCAAGTTGTCCAACCCTTACATCACCAGAAAACTAAATTAACCAGAAGGACCTTTTCTGAAAGTTCTAGTCCTTCTGGTTTTATTAAACTTGGGGCTTGAAAAATAGCATTACTGGATGGGGTCTTAGCACAGTCTATTCTAATTAAACATTATTAATGTTTTAAGCTTATTTATGAAACCATTTAAGCCTACATAAAGACTTGTCTGTGAATAGTCATTGCAGCATTATTCGTAATAGCCAAAAACTGGAAACAATCTGAATGCCCACCACCTGGTGAATGGAGACACAAAAATGTAACATATCCATACAAGTGGAACACTGTTTCACAATAAAAAGGAACAAACTACTAAAAGCCACTGGAGCCCACAGGATATGCCAGGGGTGTGCCATAGTTTTTCAACTTAGGAAAAGTATTAAACATAACAAAAGCTGAAAGACTAGTACATTGGTCACCTATGTGTTCATCACCTACATTTAACAAGATAACATTTGTAATACTGGCTTTATCTGTATTTTTGTTAGGAAGCGTTTGAAAGCAGACAGCATGACACTTCATTGAAATACTTAAGCATGCGTTTTTTTACTTTCCTCTGTAAGTAGAATTATTTCGCTTAGGAACATCGACAAGAATTTCCTGATATTTAATATTCAATTCATATTCACGTTTCCTCTGGGGAGAGTACTGGGCCAAAGGTCAGTCCCAGTGTTGGTATAATTTAGTGTTATATAAAAGCAGTTATAATTAAGGCTCTAAAGTGACGCTTGACTTGTGAAAAATATTGAAGGAATACCTGTTACTGCCTTCAAGTTGCTGTAAGGAGCTCTGGACAAAAATACGTGTATGCAACCCTAGATGAAAAATGGGCCCAGGTAGATTGCCAGCCCTGTGTAGTGTTTGATCAGTAATGTGTCTGCATGTAGCTCTTCATCTCTTCCTCCATCATCAGCAGGAGGGCAGTTTGGAACTAAATAGGCAGAATGGGTGAACGGTGACAGCAGAGGGAAGGCAAGTCTGCTGTATGCCACCAAACCTCGAGTAACATTCAGACTAGAGTTATGTGTCCCTCATTTCCTTTTGCATGGCAGTGAGTAGATACTTATTCATAAATGTTAGTTGAGTAAGTACACAGACCCCATTTTCACAAGGGTCCATGTGGACCTGCAGGGAGAGCAAGAATGTATCTGAAACAAAATTGGAGGAAAGGGCTCCATTGAAATAGAGTCAAGGTGGTGGAGAAACAGCCCAGAAGACACCTGGGGATTTTGAAAGACAAGGCAAAGCTGTCCAACAGAACTTTCTGCAAGATAGGAATATTTTATATCTGCACTGTCCAATATGGTAGCTGCTAGCCACATGTAGCTGTTGAGCACTTGAGCCTAGTCAGGAACTGAACTTTAATTTTAATTAAAAAAATGAAATAGTCGAATGTAGCTAGTGGCTACTGTATTGGACAGCACAGCGCTTAGATCCGAACACAAATGGCCTGCAGGCCATTGAAATCAAACAGGATTTTAGCAAGATTAACAGTGCTCACAAGAGCAACGGTAGTAACGGGAGACCATCATTAATCAAAATTTAGTTCCCAAACTTCTGAAATCCAAAAATGTATATCACTTTCTATATATCCCTGAGTCCAATTTTTCTGTATAATACAAGTTCTGTTTTTAAAAATCTTCCTCTTCTCTACTACTAATGCTCATAGACAAAATTATGAAAGCTGTTTTAAGAAAACATTTAAGAGTAGTGAAAAGATTTTGGTGAGAACCTCTTTTCTAATTAATTTTGCCTTTTAGTAGGCTAATAACTTTTGTGTTGAATTTAAAAAACAAAATCCCAAGATGTAACACCTTTTAGGCTTCCAGTATTCATATTTTGTAATTCTAATAAATGTGTCCAGGCACAGGATACTTCTAGATTCTTGGGCTGATGACCTTTTAAATTCAGACCAACCTCTGGGCTGGCCCCGTGGCTTAGCGGTTAAGTGCGCGCGCTCCGCTGCTGGCGGCCCCGGTTCGATCCCGGGCGCACACCGACACACCGCTTCTCTGGCCATGCTGAGGCCGCGTCCCACATACAGCAACTAGAAGGATGTGCAGCTATGACATACAACTATCTACTGGGGCTTTGGGGGGAAAAATAAATAAATAAAATTATAAATTCAGACCAACCTCTGTCTCCCCAGCCATATCACACCAGCCTGTGGCCATGCATGTCCTAAATACATTCTCCTTGTTAACAGAGAACTTCACAGTTCTCCATATTCAAAGGCAACTGAAGTTATGAGATATTTGAAAAATAATACTTTCTAACCTTAGTGATAAAAAAGATGGAAAGACTTGATTATGTAAAAATTGAAAACTAAAATCACTAACTTAAAAGGCAACAGACTGATAAAATGTATAGCAGAGAAGACAGGCAAAGGGTAAAGATGTTTATTTTATAAAAAGCTTTTAAAAATAAATTTTAAAATATTAAGACCCCAATTTTAAAAAGGGCAAAGGATATAGACAGACATAAATTACATCCAATTACCAAATTAATGGGGAAACGTTCAACCCAATTAGTTTAAAATGAGGTGATATTTTTCTTATAAAAAATGTACAAAAGAATACCCCATATTGCCATTTAATGAGCGATTTCTTTGTGTCAGGTGCTGTTCTTTTTTTTTAATTTTATTTATCTATTTATTTTTCCCCAAAAGCCCCAGTAGATAGTTGTATGTCATAGCTGCACATCCTTCTAGTTGCTGTATGTGGGACGCGGCTTCAGCATGGCCGGAGAAGCGGTGCGTTGGTGTGCGCCCGGGATCCGAACCTGGGCTGCCAGCAGCGGAGCGCGCGCACTTAACCGCTAAGCCACGGGGCCAGCCCCTGTCAGGTGCTGTTCTATACACATGAGGATACAGAAACAGGACAGGATGCCAGCTCTCACAGAGTCTGCAGCCTCAATGGGACAAATAAGAAAACGTCCTGTTTCCCATGCTTTTCTGTGTTAACTGTTCTTTTTCCAGTCTTCCAGTGGAGTGAATGATTCCCTTGCCTTTATCTTCCTTGTACTATTTTGGAAGTTATACCTTCTATATATTTTTAGCAGTTACCCTTAAAATTTAAGGCTGACAATTGTCTTAAAGTCTTTACCCTCCTAAGTAATCCGAGGGCCATAGAATGCTTTAATTCTAATCACATATCATCCCCTGAGCGCCCCCAATGCTATTTTT